GCCCAGACATAAACTTCATGTAAGAGTGACAGGATTGCCTAGAAAGAGGCAACGTTTGTCATCTGTACATTATAGGGCACTCAAGTGTTGTCAAGTACCTGCATGTAATGGGTGGGCAGGCTTACCGAAGCAGATGAGAGGCCTTCAGGGCACTGCAGAGCATAAATGACTCCCAATCAGATTCAGAAGTGGATAATGGTTCAGTTAGATGTTTCCTTTGGATGGAACGATTTCATCTGCCATGGTTGTGGGCAGTAATAGTACCGAAGAAAGAGTACTAAATAGGATTTAAGATATTACGCCACTGTTTTCTGAATGCTCCTCTGAAAACATCATCTTCTTGGAGGACTCCTCAGTGCCTTAAGATCACAATACCTTTGGCCATTGGAAAGCCTTAAGACTGCAGGAACGGCAGCTTCAGAGGACAAGTGGTCATTTGTCAATCATACTCTGGTTATAGCCTGTATGTGAAGACGTTCATCTATTTCAGTCTCATCTTCCCATTGTTTCCACAAAGTCTTAATAAAGGGAGGAACTGGCCAACAGCAATGTGGGCTGTGAGGTGGTAACTAGAACACCTGAAGGAAAGGATTTCTGTCAATATTCTCTTCTCTGAACATGGATGAGTGGAATTTGATGTTATTTTTATTGACTTGTATGTCAGTGAAGGTGGGGTTTTTTATGCAGTTTTAACCCTGGGGGGAGATTCTTCTTTTGGCTCCACCTCCGCCTCTACTGGGAGGTCAGAGGTCATGGTCAGCTACCAAACAACAGCCCCGTCTTTAAGCTGAAGGACGATCTTTCTCCTCATGTTTGCCTCAGCACGTACTAAAGCAAGCTGGGTTCTCCAACTGCTGAGTGAGCCATGGAAGTGCAGCCTCTGTGGATGAATGCACCCATGGTGGACGTGAGCCAACGTTTAACATGAAGCGAATGGATTAACTAGCAATTTAGAGGTTTGGTTTTATTTTTCAGTGCTTCTCTAAAGGCAAAAAGGATTTTATTGGATTAGTGAATCTGCATTAGCCTGAGCAAAATAACCACTGTTATTGCTGATTTCCAAATTGATTAATTGATTGATATCAATCAAACATGGAGTATAAGGCCTGGCCCTGGCCTTCACCTACAAAATGTCCCTCAAATAGACTCAAAATGACTACAAAGAGACACATAAAGACAACAGAGGGACCAAAACAACAACAAAGTGAAGCAAAACAACATCAAAGAGACACAAAACAACCACAAAGACACACAAAGGGACTACAAAGAGACACAAAAAGACTACAAAGAGAAGCAAGTCAAACACATAGAGATGTGTTTGACTTGCGTGTGTCTTGCTCCTCTGTGAGTCGGAGAGGCCTTTTGCATGTCTGTGCCCAAGGGCCCACTGTCTCATAATCCTCCCATGAGAATATGCAACACAAGTTGACAAATTGCATAAAAATAAACCATGCCTCTGAGAGCAAGACCCTCCTATATTTGTACATGGTTGCTACTACATAAAGAGTCAAATGTATCAGTACATACTCTCAGATGTTGTGTGTGTGTGTGTGACTAAAAAAATCTCACAGGCTTTAAAAAGGTGTGATTTGTTTTGTAGGTATTTGGTCACAAAGTATGACCAGATGATGGCTCTGGATGAAAAGTCAAGGACACACAAAAGTTATTAAAACTCATCCTCTGGGGAACTTGTAGTTTGATCGCTTGCTCTGCTGCCCAAAGTGGCCAAAAAATCCATTTATGCAGATTTAAAGCATCTACCAATCAAACATGGGAAGTTGCACAAAGCACTGATACAGTCAGCTTTAACATTGGGACTCTACTGGTCTGCATTTTTTGACAGAATGCTATGTTTTGTAGTTGTTGTCAGGACCAAAGTGGGTCTAATGTGGCACTGAAAAGGCCAGTCCATTATTCTGGTCCCTTATGTGTTAGGCACTGATCTCCATTTGAAGCAGAGAGGAGGAGGATTGATGAGGATGTGGTTTATTTCTGCCTTAGCTGTTGAGGAACTCAAGAAAGAGACACGTTGACTCCACCAGTCTGAGTGCAATTGTGCTGACATTCACTTTCAGATGGAAGTTTGAGCGTGGTTAAGCTGAAATGTGCGTTAAAGAAATGAATTACAGCTGAAGTGAATCACTGGCATAAGCTCTGCTCTCTGGTGTCTCATCTTCAGTCTGCGTGTCTCTCCCTCTGCATTTGTTTGGTGTTGAAGATGTCACGTTGGGCTGAGTTTTCATTTTTTTTGGGGTGGTGTGATTTCCCGACAGCTTGACTTGTGGTTCTGACTCATTAGCTTCCTGCACTGCCAGAATGAGCCTCATCAATCGTAACCCCCAGCGCAAAAGAGCTGCTCTCTCGCTACCTGGCCTTTATGGCTCTCTTTCCTCAGCAACGCAACAAGCCTAGAAACAGAGGGGCTCGGCTCGATGCAGGGGAATAAACAACACCGGCGTTTTTATAAATGCTGTCAAAAGTGAGAGTATTTTCCACAGTGACTCACTCAATTATGCTATTCAGGCTATATCAGACAGGAGAACCAATTTTGGTATCTCATGTAGGCACATGTTGCATTCATGCACAAACAGTGTGGGCTGCAGATCTGAGCTGTTTTACAAGGATCCATCCCACCGAGGCAAGAGATGCGGTGACCTGCTGATCAGTCACCAGAAGCAGGAAGTAGCAAGACTTTCAATCTGCTGAAATATCTGAGCTTCTAAAAGCCTCCCGCCTCCACCCTCCAGAGCTTAACTTGACCGAATTTAAACGTAACTTAAAAGCACTTCTTTGCTACGCTAGCTACTGAAGGAATATTGAATGTCTACAAATGCTGCTTTTGCTTTTTAACGATTGTTACCGTAGATAAAGACCTACTCGGCTTTACAGGAACAGTGTTCCTAAATGTCATTGTCTTCTGTCACGATGGCCGAATTGTGGTGGTTCACTTTGACACTGTGATCCGGCTATTTCAAACACATGTTGTTCACTCTTCTGTCTGCATGCTTCTCTCTTAAACTGCTTTTTTTAGTTTTTCCAAAAATTAGATCATATTTTGCCAGTGAGTGCAGTTAGTGACAGTGTGGGCTCCACGGTAGCTCTGACATAATAAGATAAGTTAATCATACAGCTTTCTTAGACTTTACAAATGTTATTGTACAGAATGGATACAATTTTGGTAGGAGTCATTTTTGGGGAGTTTGTGATTTTACAGCCGTTCTTAGTGTTAGTGCTGGTTTATAATAGTAAAGACTCGTACTGCATTGTTGAACATGGACGACCTCAGAAAGCAAAAGTGTTTATAGTTTGGGGATCATATTTTCGATCAATAAAAGTAAAAAGTGATCTTTTTAAGATACTTAATAGAAATGAAATTGTCAGTACCTCAAAATTTGTATTTGAGTAAACGTTACATTCCACTTGTGTTTACTGCCGAATAACAGAATGATAATGAGGATTATTGGACTGCTAGTCTAAAAATCTGTATCTGCAAAGTTAATGAGGTCTCGCTGTGTAGCTGCCACACAGTAAAGACAGCAGTCTTTCATGTGCGCTGAGCTCCAGCTAACAAGCTCTGCTGCAGCAGGTGTAGGTGTGTGCGTGTGCGGGCGTGTGTGTGTGTGTGTGTGTGTCGTCAGGTTGGAACTCTCTGAAGGCTGTCATTGGGCCCCGAGTGGATCCTCCAGGAGGTAATGTAATGCCCCACAGCTGCCATGGCCCTCAACCCCTCACAACACGAACAACAGCCATCACAGTGCTGTGCCTCACCTCGTCTACCTTTCTCCTTCTCACACACACACACACACACACACACACACACACACACACACTCATACGCTCATACGCTCACACTGATGAAGAACTAGGTTATCATGGCAGTTATTTCTGCTGCGGGGCATATAGCTTACAAAGCACAATAACCCGTTTCAAGGAATCTCAGGACAAACTCTGTGGGAGACGCAATAAAACAGAAATTAGATTAGAAACCTCTAACAATTCTTTAGTGCTCCGTACGCAGCGTGCGACTCTCGGCCACAAATGTTAACACAATACTACATCATGCACTGTAGCTCAAACACAGGACTGACTTACGGGGAAAGGTCAGCCTGGCATAATACGGCCAACGTGACTTTTTCCTAAAACTGGACTTCTGACATCTCCAAGGAATTTAACTGCTGTTGAATGTTGAAATACTATTACAAGCTTTTTTTTTAACAGGGAGCCGAAAGTGCTTTCATTAAAAAGACCATATTGTAATCAAATGTCTGACAGAGAAAAAGAAACGAGAGGAAAAAAAACAAAAACAGAACTCACTTGGACGAAAGCCTGCCCCCACAAAGAGCACGCGTATTACTCATCCCCCACAGAGCCGCCTTGCTCTAGTGTATTGTGGGAGGACTGGGGTGGGCGGCTGTGCAGGGGATTGGGAGCCGCGGTATAAGACTACACTGCATGACTTCAGCCCTGCACGTAAACGTATCAGCATAATGTTTCCTTGCCGTCCCTTCGCACTAAGTGGCTTCTGTTTTAGCCCAGTCTCTCTCTGTGTGTGTGTGTGTGTGTGTG